TCTCCTCCTCCTCCTTTTCCTCCTCCTCCTTCTCCTCCCCCTCCTTCTCCTCCTCCTCCTCCTCCTCCTCCTATTTTCCTCCTCCTCCTCCTTTTCCTCCTTCTCCTCCTCCTTTTCCTCCTCCTCCTCCTCCTCCTTTTCCTTCTCCTCCGCCTCCTCCTCCTTCTCCTCTTCCCCCTTTTCCTCCTTTTCCTCCTCCACCTCCTCCTACTCCTCCTTTTCCTTCTCCTCCACTTCCTCCTTTTCCTCCTCCTCCTCTTCCTCCTCCTCTTTCTCATCCTTCTCATTTTCCTCCTCCTCTTCCTCCTTTTCCTCCTCCTCTTCCTCTTCCTCCTTTTCCTCCTCCTCTTCCTCATCCTCCTTTTCCTCCTCCTCCTCCTCCTCCTCCTCCTCCTCCTCCTCTTCTTTGAGATAAAAATCTCATACTATGGCCCAGGTTAGCTTCCACGTTAGAGCAATCTGCCTACTTCCGGGTCCTAGGTGCTGAGATGGCAGGCAAGCACTCACCAGAATACTGACTTATGTCTTAAGTAACATACCATGACACATATTGAGGGGAGCTGGGGTACTGTGTGAATGTGATACATGTGTGCTGATGATAGAGTTCCATGATTTACACCAACACCCATTGTGTGGGCAGAACATACATGTAGGAAACTGTGCATCCCCAGGTAAAGAGCACTAGCCAGTGTTGGAAGTAGGCAAAGACTGGATGATGGTCACAAGACACAGTGATAAAGAGGAATAGTTCACAAAATTAAAACTGAGACCAAATGGTACACTTACCTCTCTAACATTAACATGAAGTACGGTGCTGATGAATGTCGGTGTGTATGTAACCAGGAGACTGTTTGACCATATGAAAGCAAAGCTATTGAGGATAATGGCCCAGAGTGGAAGAGACTTAAGCATAGCTTTGATTGGCAGGGATTGTCTGCCTGAGCTGACCTGAAAGACAAACCAAGAATCATTCTGAGTGATGATCAGCTGGAATGTGTTTTGTTTGGAGCAGAATCTAGAAGCTGCCCAAAAGGAGCTCAGCATTCTACCTGTTGCATGAGAGAGGATATGATGTAGTCCTTCTCACTGCTGCTCATATATGGGTGGTCCTTGGGGTCATCAAAGAATAGAATGAACCAGAAAAGACTCAGAACACACCCAACAATACCTATTAAAGAGACACATGTTAAAAGGAAGTTCTATCTAGAGTTCTGGATTGAGCACATTTCAGAGCATAAGTCTGAGATTCCAGGTGGTCTCTTTCTTCTCTAAAACCCTGTGGGGCTCACACTTTGACAGTTTTCTTTGTAAGTACAGCTGGTCCTTGCTGCGGAATGAATTTTTTTACTGAAATGCTGATGTGCTGGTGAGCCCAATGGTCTGTTCTAATCCAACTAATCCCCTTACTCACCTAGGGTTCCTAAGGTTGGACCTTTATGTTTCCAGATTTGCAATGGCTCTCTACTTCAGGAGCATTCCAAACTGAGCATTCACAGAGCTAGACAGCCCCACTTCCTAATCACCATTACTATTGAGGATGGGTCTGGTGATGAAGGGCAGCGGGCTTGTAGGGGTGGATGCATTGTCCTATTAACACTCTGCCTTTAGCACAGTATGGGGATTAGAAATTTTCTGTGGCCCTCGAACTCAATCTGTCCCCCTTCCCATAGATGGCTTGAAGAAACATCAACAGTCCTCCTACCCACTGTGCTAATTTGGTAAAGAGAAAGCCTGGGAAGCGATGAGGAGAGAGTTAGTGAAAGTAGGTTATCTTTTCAAACAGGAAACATCTCCCTACCTAGAGTTACCTCCTTATATGTGTTCTTTGTGAATAAACAGGCCATCTTCAGACATCCAGTCTATGGGACTTTTTGATTGGTTCTGATAACTCTGGCTCATTTGTTCTCTGAGGATTAGGAATAGTGGTAACTCTTGTAACCTAAGTTTACATTGTGATATTGCCTCTATAATTCCACAGTCTGTCTTTCAAAGTAATTGCTTGGTAACTGTAGTGTTCCGAATGAGAATGACTGCCACAGGTTCACATGTTTGAATGCTTATTCCTCAGTTAGTGGAATTTTTGGGAAAGGATAAGGAGGTGTGGCCCTGTAGGAGGAAGTATGGTCTTGTTGGAAGAGGTTATTACTGGGGTCTGTAGTTTCAAAAGCCCATGCCATTCCAGTTCTCTCTCTCTCTCTCTCTCTCTCTCTCTCTCTCTCTCTCTCTCTCTCCCTCTCTCTCTCTCTCTCTCTCTGCCTCATGTTTATAGACTCAAAATGTAAGCTCTCAGATACTGTTTAGTGCCATGCTTGCTTGCCTGCTACCCTGTTCCCCACCATTACTGTCATGAACTTACTCTCTCAAACTGTAAGCAAGCCCTCAAAGTAAACCTATACTTATTTTTATGAGTTGCTTTGGTCATAGTGCTTTGGTCATGCATTGATCAATAGAAAAGTTACTAAGCCAGTAAATAAATCCAAAGTTTGCCAAAAATTGTGACTTTGGGCGATGTGGCTTGAGTGTGAACTGTCACAAGAGGCTCTTGTGTTTGAACACTTGGTTCCCAGCCGACAGCACAGGTATGAAAGGTTGTGGAATCTGTGGGAAGTGGGTGGAGTCTTGTTGGAGGATGTTGGTCAATAGGAGCAAGCACTGCAGCTTGAAATCCAAAGGCGATATTATAATTCACTTGGCAGCATACATTCTTATTCTGTTTACTTACTCTTGTGCAGTGTATTTTTCTCTGGAGACATAATATGTTTGGTCAGGGCCTAGCATTGCAGGTATGGATTATGTATAACATACTCATCCTATGACCTTTCAGAAATCAGTATAGGTGATGTAATGAAAGTCTGTTCCTTCTGGAAGCTTTTTCACATAAGATTTACCATACTGAAACAGGTAGTTATGTAAACTGGGTATGAGATTATGAACTGCATTCCTGATCACCAGACCTCTTCAATGTTAACTTCTCTTTCCCTCAGTGAAGACTGTGAAGTTTTTAAGATAGGAGTTTTGTATGAATCATAATAAGTCTACTATATATTATAGTGAATTTGGATTTTTGTATATTGTTACATTTTGATGACTTGCTGAGGTTTTATAAAAAGATACTCACCAAAGATGTAGAAAACCATGGGCCAGCCCAGGAGATCACAGATGAAGCCACTCACAAGTAGAACTATAAATGGTCCCATTACAAACCCTAATTGAAAGGCACAGAAGACACCCTTGTTAAATGTTAAATTAACAAAGGCATCTGAATGCTGAGCTAATAAGCATCTGTACTGTAATGAACAATCTCCAATGACAGAAGTTCATGTTTCACAAAGACTCAGAAAGACTGGAGAAAGTATTGACTTTCTCTCTCTCTCTCTCTCTCTCTCTCTCTCTCTCTCTCTCTCTCTCTTTCTCTCTCTCTCTCTTTCTCTGTGTGTGTGTGTGTGTTGTCGTTGTTTGAATTAAAGACATTTCTTTTTCATTCTAAACAAATTCTTTGTACATGTGTGCATGAACGTGTGTGTGTTTGTGTGTGTATGTATGGGGGGGGGCAATCACATTCATTTAGAAGCTAGAGGTTGATGTCCAGTATTTTTTTCTTTTAGTCTCTATATTGTTTGAGATACGGTCTTCCACCAAACTTAGAACTCACTGTTTCAGTGGGGCTGGTTGGCCAGTGAGCCTCTGGCCTATGTTTGTCTCTATACTAACTGTGCTGGAGTTATAGATGTATGCTGTTGTGCCTGGTATTTGACATGGGTCTAGGGTCCTCATGCTTGTGTGGCAAACCCTTTATCCACTGAGCCATCTCTTCATCCATAATTAAGGTAAGAATGTTGCAAGGGATGTTTCTGAAGTGCTCAGCAATTCAAAGCACATGTTTTTAAAGGTTCTCAGAAAGAACATGCCACAAGATGAAAACAGGGCCTGGCCATTCTTAAGTACTTACCTGATAGAGTCATAGAGGTAAGTCTGCCTCGTTCTAAGGGAGGTGCCCATTTGACCCATATTTCATGCTGGCCTGTTGAAACTATTCCCTGAAATGAAATTATGAGGACTTTTGAATTCTAATATTCTGAATTCAAACTCTGTGTCTATTTTAACCATATGTCAATACCTGGGCTATTCCCTGGAGTACTCGACATGCAATGACCAAAGCTGCTCCGACTTGCGCAGCTGGTGGGATGAGCAGGGACATCACAGAGCTGAGGAGCATTGAAAACCCAATTATTCTCTTCATTGGGTATATTCCCGATAGGTACCCAACAGGAACTTGAACCACGACCATACCAAAGAAGACAGAACTGAGAATAAACCCTTGGATATAAAGACTCCAGGGATACACAGGGTTCTAAAAGAAAGAAAGAGAGACAAGTCTAAGAATTCTGCATTGGAGATGTAATCTGGTGTTTATGGGGCCCAGGAGTGTGATAGTCCTACTCAGTCTGTGTAAAGCAGTTCCCACTTCTTTCTAAAGATTTTTTTCTCCCACAAAACAACTTTATCATCTTATCATGTCATTTTGCATATATTTACATACTATTGATGTCTTCAATTATAGGTTAAGTATCTCTTATCTGAAATGCTTGGGACCAGAAAGGTTTCGAATCCTTTTGGATTTTGGAGATATTACCAAATACATAATAATATATCTTGGGGATGTGATCAGCCTAGACATAGAGCTTATTTTTGTTTATATGTGCTGTATTGTTTGCATTTCTCTTCAGTGTCACAAAATACCTAACAAAAGCAACTTAAGAAAGGTTTTATTCTGGGTCATAATTCCACAATGTGGGTCATCCCAGCAAGTCAGTCATGGCAGCTGGCGGTGGGGGCGGGGAGAGGTAAGACTACTGGTTGAGTTGCATCCATAGTTAGGAAGAACAAAGAAATGAATGGAGATGCTCAGCCTGTCTTCTCTTTTCATTCATTCTGAGACCCCAGCCTACTGAATGCTGTCATCCACATTTAAGCTTCAGTTTCCTTTTCTAATTATTACTATTAGCTCTCCAATAATAACTGACCTCCATAGAAACTAGCTAACAAGTTGAAGTTTTAAACTTGAACTTTATACTTTCGATATACCTTTACATTATCCAGCATCTCCACCACAGATTCATTAGGTAAATGGGATGGCTCTGTGTTGTTCACCATGGCTACCATTGTGAGATTCAGGCATACTCGCTGAGCCATGATGGCAATGTTACAGAAGTGCAGAAGGATAGCCAGCCCATACCGAAAGGAACAGAAACCTGGAACTGAGAAGTTGAAAAAAACTCAATTAACAGCACAAATATAGAAAAAAAGTCAGGTATTTGGAACTCTAGATTTCCTAGATAGTAAATTAAAATTTTGTTGTAAAGCATCCTGCTAGAAATTAAGGTATAATGGCAAAAGGTGGGACTGATTTAATAATTTCCTATTACTTTAAGACATAGTTCCAATTAGAATGTCCCAGAATGTTAATCCAGTTTCCAAATGTTTTAGTGTGTGTCTATTTTAAAGGGATCTTTGATGAATATTGTAGCAGGATTTTCCCTGTCCAGTCACTTTAAATATTAATATAACAAGAAGCCTGTGATTGGACAGGGAAAAGGTAGGCAGAGTGAAGAGTTTCAGAGATGGGGATGGAGGAGAAGGAAGGGGGAGAAGGAGGAAGATGGAGGACAAACAGGACGATTTAGATTCTGTGTGGCTTTAAATAGCCATAGGTAGTTATAATATTATATAGGGATGAATAACTGGGATAACTTGTCTAATCTAGGTGGGCAGCTTGCATCATTATCAGTTGGTTCTGAATTTATTGTGTGGGCATTTTGTGGTTTGAGAATTTATTGTTGTATAAATCTGACTGATTAGTTACAACTTCTAGAGTTTTGATTTACTGGGTTACTGGGAATTGGGACCGCTAACCACAGAGGGTGAATGGCTAAGAAGGTACAGACAGCTTGAGGCTGGTGAACTGAAGCTGGGAAGATCACTGCACAGAGGCTAGCCATAGAGGTGGCAGGACTGTGGGTAGGCAGTAGCTGGAAACAGCTTGGGAACTTGCCGGTCTAATTTAATATTTCACGCAACAGAATACCTTAGTTTTCCTTTGGAAGCAAGTCCCCTTATTGATATCAATGGCATTTTCCCTCAAAGAAAATACTTTCATTTTCAAACTGATATGACTACTCTGGTTGAGAAACTTATATTTGCACACAGATAATTTTTTTTCCTCAAGAGAGTAAATTTACTGAGAAATAATCAAGCTATAATAAAGAACATAGTATTGATATAAAACCAAATACATTCATCAATGGGAAAAAGCAGGGAGTCCAGAAATACATGTGCATCTACAACTAAATTGTGTGTGTGTGTGTGTGTATAGGTATGTGTAGATATGTGTGTGTGTTTGTGTGTGTGTATAGGTATGTGTAGATATGTATGCGTGTGTGTGTGTGTGTAGGTGTGTGTAGATATGTGTGTGTGTGTAGATGTGTGTGTATGTGTATAGGTGTGTGTTGCATGTTTGCGTACATGCTCATATTGGAGGCAGGTGGTTGCATATATGTAGAGTTCAGAGGTCAATGTTGAGTGTCTTTCTCTATTGCTCTGCATTTTATCCACCTTAGTTTTTGAGAAAGTTCCTCTCTTGGAACTTGGAATTCTATGGTTAGACTAGACTGTCTGGCCAACAAGCCCCAGTACCAGGATCAAAGGGCATATCATCACACCTAGCTTTTTATATGGATGGTTGCTGGGGGTCTGGACACAGGCCATGGCTCTAGTGCTGCAAATGATTTCCTGACTGATCCATTTCCCCAGCTTCTAAACATTTTTGGGTAAATGAACTAATGTAATTCAATGAAGGGAAAGACTGTCTGCTTTGAAGAATTCTCCCAAGAAAAATTAACATATGCTCACAAAAAGACTTGTAAAAAAAGTTTGCATCAGTTTTATTCAAAATAACAGACTGTTTAGAAAAAATAAACATACTGTGTTGTGCTAACATAAAGCATATTGCTCAGAATCAAAAAGGAAGGAGGCACTGAAAGACCCAGCCATCTGGATTCATCTCAGCCAAACGTGCTAGGTTAAAAACCTAGTCACAAAAGGCTGTTTTCTATAGAAATCGATTGTTATGAAATCCCCAAACAGTCAAAAAAAATCTGCATGGCCTCTCCTATCTTCAAAAGCAGCAGGGGAAATCTTTACCCTGGCACACCTGCCTCACGTCTGTCTGTGACCTCTAAACAGATTAAAAGGCTCATGTGATTTGATCACTTTCACCTTGATAATTTCCCTATTTAACTGGGAAACCATTTGCATGTGCCAGGGTTGGGATCTCTCAAAGGCATAGAATTCTGCCTACTGTGGCCACCCATTTGTGTTCATCACACATGCAAAACGCAGTCAACTCACCCTAAGCATCCCAAAACACATTTTATTGTAATGTTATCTTAAGCCTCATCAAAAGCTCATTACTTCAAATTTCAAAATCTCACCATCTTAACCACCATCTAAACCTTATAGGAGCAATCCAGTTGGGGCACAGAATCTATCTGTGGACTTGCCAAAGAAATAAAATGTGTGCTCCTACTACTGCCACCATTAAATAATGGGATAGTCATGGGACAAAACTACCAAGATTAAAATTCTAAAAGAGAAAAGTAACATGAATCTACAGTGGTTTGAAGTTCAATTGAACAAATATTGGGTGTTAAATTATGAATTTTAAATACAAATATTTAAGTGTTGTTAGTTGCATCATAGTTATGGGATGTCGGAAAAACATCAAGCACCATGTGAAAACTTTATTGTCTTTCCTGAAATTTTCTGTTTGTGTTTCCATAGAACATATCTCCCTTATGCCATCAGTGGTATTGTGTTTAAGGAGGTGGACTCCTGGACAGAGGGACAGTGTTACCTTTCTTGGGGAGGCACTGGTTCTCCATTTGAGACTTATCTTCTTGTTGTTGGGCTTGGTTTCCATCCACTGTGGGTATAAAACACACTGGTCAACACAATTCAAGAAGCAACTGACCAAGCACCCAGGACTTCTCTCTGACTGACAACCAGGATCAAAGGATGACACACCAGATAGAGCTAGTGACCTTTCACCTCCACTGAGGGTCTTAGTTAACATTCTACTTTCACAAATTTTTTTTGTTATTCATTTAAAATATATAGAAAACTTAATAACTATAGCAAGATGAAAACAAGCAACCCTGCCAACCCAGGGATTTTGTTTGTTTGTTTGTTTGTTTAATCTAATGAAAAATAAAGACTTTCTTAAAGAGATAGAAATTGAGGACATCTGCTGCCAGTAGGCTTGTCCAGCAAGGAAAATTGACAGAAAGCCATTAGACAGAAAGAGGCTGCAGTGATTCGAAATTTACATGTACAGAGAGGTCAAATATTATGAAAGGAGTAAATACAAGTAAAACTCATTTTCTGTACCTTAAGAGAGGGGAAATATGACTGTCTTCTTATTAGTGCCACCCTCTCTTGAAATAGACCATTCTCACTGCCCCATGTGAACCTGTCTGTAGCCTTAGTTTCTGGAAAGAGACTTACTGCAGACAAGCCTGCATCTGTTGGGGGAGGCTGGTGATGAGGATAAGTTAGAATTCAATTCCCACATAAGCCATGAGCCTAGACTTTGGGATCTGACTTTATCAGTTCACATGCTCCTCACATGTCCCCCAGACAACGACGAGTTGGGTATTTGAAACATTCTAGAATGAGTAGAGCATCAACCACGATTTTCACACACTGGAGCCTCTTTTGAGCTTCCATTTATGCAACAAACTCACAACACAGTACAGGGATACTACACATGCACACACACACACATACACACACACACACACACACACACAGAGAGAGAGAGAGAGAGAGAGAGAGAGAGAGAAATACTGCACACATACTATATATAGAATAGAGTACACAGATACTAGACATGTACACACACATACAGAGAGAGAAATACTACACACATGCTATATATAAGACACAATACACAGATACTACACACACACCCCTACACATATACACTACACAGAGAAACACTATACACATACTATGCATACAACACAGTATACAAATACTTTATACACACATATTATACACAGAGAGAAACATTAGCATTACATACACATAAACAATACACATATGCTAGACATACACACAAACACTACTCATATACTACATATACAGAGAAACACTATACAATCCTATATATACAACACAGAACACAAGTACAACACACACAGAGAAACATTATGTAAACATGAATAATATACACATACCATACACAGAAAGAAATTATATACACAAAAACACTACAAACAGAAACACAGCACATATGATATTCATACAATACATGAATACTACACATACACACACAGAGAAACACTACATACATACTACACACAGACGGAAAACCACATACATACTATACATACAATACAGTATACCTATATGCTATCCACACAAATACAATATGTACTTATCACACACTTATACTATACTTGTGCTTACACTACACATAAATTACATGCACAAGAATACATTATATACAAATCACACATAAACACTATGCACAAACCCAGTACATGCATACTATACACACAAACATGACACACATACCATACATATACAAGCCACATGTAAGTGCATACCTCACACAAATACATAACACACACAAATAGTACAACACCCCTTCTCACATGCAGCAGAAATATCTCCAGACACAAACCGAACCTACATCTACCTCTATGACCTATAATGACACATGTGCACAGAGTGCACACACCACACAGGGTACCCACTCACAGCCCAGCATACCCCACAGGCCGTGCACACTTACCCTTTCCCTCCAGCAGTGTCACACCACAGCAGTCACAGACAGCTCATCACATAGCCCACCCCTTTTCTTTCCTTTTATCATTGCGAGTGACCAACAGGTTACACTCATTCCTAAAAATATGTTCATTTTCCCTTTCCCCAAGAGAAGTCTCAAAAGATAAATAAATTCTTCTAAATTTTTTGTGCTCACATTATTAATTACCTTGGGAAATTCTCTACCATGGAAGGACCCCAAAAGCCCTCTGGAGAATTAAATGTTTATTTCACTTGGCACAGAACAAGAGTCACACTGACCTGATTAAGACAGAACACCCCTTCCTCCTTCCAGGAAGACTTTTCGCTCGACTTTAGTGTGGAATTTTTCCTACTTGCTGGTAAATTCTATACCAAATCCTTTGACCTCATCATACCAAGAGCAATGTTTAATTTTTAACTTTACATTTGCCCTAGCCTTGCATCTTCTGAGGAGAAGCATGAGTCTTGGGATCTACCGGACTAGAACCTTCTGGGAACCGATTGGCAATTTCAAGATTTAGTAAACAGATCCCATGCTCTCCAGCTGAGGCAGGACGGAGAGCACCTTTCAGAAGTGTTCCTAGGATGTCTCAGTTGAGCAGGCCTTTGGAATTCCATGGATTGTCACTGAAGTGCTAGGCTTTAGCCATGTCCTATTAGTTTCATTATTTTTTCCCTCCACTCTATCCCTTTCTTCCTTTTCCTCCTCCTGCCTTCTCTTTCCCTTCTGTCCTCCCTCTCTCCCTCCCTTGTTGTCTCTCTCCTTTCTTCCTCTTTTGTTCCTTCGCCCTTTCCCCTCCGGTACCCTCCTTCCTCCTTCCCTGCTCCTCAGAGATCATGCCTTTTTGACATTTGGTGTGCTGAGAAAGCTGCACCTTTTCTTAAGGCTTGCCCCTTCAAGGTTGTGACGTGCTCTGTGGCTTTTCCTGTTTCAGCTCCTGGCTCTTCCAAATGTTTCAGCTCTGTCAACTCTTTTGAGTTGAGTTGTATAATCAGTTAGGAACATCTAAGCCTTGAATCAGATAATTTTCACTGTTGCTGATTCGCTAACATACTTAAGCATTTTAATTTATTGTGCCTTTTCAACGCTTGTCAATAGTTGACAGTTAGCAGATGCTCCATGACTTGAAACCCAATTTCCCCCTAAATAAATGTTGAGGCCAGAGATGAACCCTGTGCTTGAGGCCAAGACAAGAGGAGGGTCATGAGTTTGAGGTCAGTCTGGGCTACAGAACAAGTGCCAGGTAAGCTCAAGATGCTTGACAAGATGCTTGATGTATCAGAAAAGGAAGGAGAAGAGAGAGAAGGAAGGGAAGAGGAGAGAGGGGAAAGAAAACCTTTGCCAGGGAGCTTTGTCTTGTTACTCAGCTGGAGTTAGGATTATTAGACGTGTTGATACTCTGTGTGCCCCATGACGTCGGTACTATCTGCTCACATAGCTGGCCATTTCTGGTACTTTCCGGAAAAAAGAGCTTTTTAATGATTGAAAACTCTAAGTTAGTAGTTGTTCAATGTCCACCTTGTGAATAAACAACACTCTCACACGGCATCAATGTCCTAAGTTCTAGGTACAAATTACGTAAGAATGGCCCATCCTTCTGTTTGCTGGCTCTGCTGTCTATTGCATCATGACACTCTGAAGTTGATTTATCTGGATTCCATGTTTCACTAATTAATTTTTACTTTAGTGTTTCAACATGGAAAGTTTTCAGACATACAAAAGAAATAGAATAATCTAGTGTAATCACTGACCTATTATCTACCTTCAACTACTACTAGCATTTGAATTTTCCTGTTCAATAGTTGTTTCTGTAGTATTCTAAAGCAGTTACTGGACATTATATAATTTCTTCTACAGAAAACTCAGCATGGAAACTTAATTCATCAGAAAAATTTAGAACATAATTAATAATAGGTCATTTCTCCCCACCACCCATTTTAAGCCAGAATAGGTTATATTAAAGGCAGGTTTACTGGGAAGCGGCTTTCAGTGAGTTCCCTGAGCCCAAGGACCAAACCCAGGAAAATCACCATAGGGAAAGGGGGAGGGGTGGGGGGGAGAAAGAGCATGCAGACAGAAAGAAGAGAAGAGGAGAGGAGGGAAGAGGAGGGGAGAGAAGGGGAAGGGAGGGGAGGGGAGGAGAGGAGAGGAGAGGAGAGAGATCTGGATTATATAGGGAAGAGCCTCTAAGGGCAGGGCAGTCCAGCCCCAGGGCTGGAAAGTTCAAGGTTGGGGCCAGGGTATGCCAGGTAGGGACTGAGGGATGCTGGGAGAATCTGGAGGCCAGGTCTGCTTTGGTATATACAATACTCATCTCAGTCCTTTGTCCATGGGTCTAAAACCAAACAGTTAACATGCTACAAACTCTAGTAAACAAACAATAACCCTCTAAATCTCTTCAATTCCTTCAAAGTTGTCTTCTTTATTCTTGATTGGTTTTTGAGACAGAGTCTCATGTAGTGCAGACTGGCTTGGAAGTCACGAGGTAGCCTTGATTCTCAATCCTCCTGCCTCTACTTACCAAATACAGGAATTTTAGATATGTGCCGCTGTACCAGGTTAGATGCAGTGCTGGGCTTTGTGCATGATGTTCACTCTATTAGCTGAGCCACACCCTCAGCCAGGATGTCATTATTTCTTTTTAAAAATTGTAAATTTAGTATATATGTGTGCCTGTGTATATGAGTGGGGGGCTCTCAGAGTTCAGAAGAAGGTGCTAGATTTCCTGGTGTGGTGGTTGTGAACTGCTTGACGTGGGTGCTGGAAACTGAACTTGAGTTCTCTGAAAGAGCAGAAAGGATTCTTAATCCCCAAACTAACTCTCCAGCTCCCGAACATCATTGTTTCTTGACTGTCACTTTGGAAACTCACTACCTTAATGAGATAGATCATTGGTTTTACCCTTAAACAAGTCCCTCCCACTACTGTAATCTGTAATTTAGGCTCTTCGCCAACCTGCCTTCAGCGACTCACCAGCAGCGGCTTACATCACCACCTGCTGCTGCCAGGGTTGGCCTGTAAATGGACCAGGCCACTCCAGATTGATTCATATTCATTCTCTCTCTCTCTCTCTCTCTCTCTCTCTCTCTCTCTCTCTCTCTCTCTCTCTCTCTGTCTCTCTCATCTATTCTCTTCTGGTCTCTCTGACTGCTTGTCTCTCTCTAGCCTTCATGTTTCCACTCCGAGCTGGCTTTTCACCCTCCCTCCTGCCCCCAATAAACCTCTTGCACTAAATCTGTTGCCTCTAATCCTAACATTACCGGGGAGCTATGTCGTGTGTGTGTGTGTGTGTGTGTGTGTGTGTGTGTGTGTGTGTGTGTG